GGGTGTGGCGCCGGCCACCCCTTCCGTGCCCGCTACTCAAACGGCCTCCTCCGGGCACAGGGAGCCGCCATCGGTCACCCCGGCTGGGCTCACCCGTCTGCTCTATGGCCTCCACCAGCCTCGCCAGGGTGGGGGGCGGCGTCAGGGGGTGTCAGGCTGGAGCCGGCCACCCCTTCCGTGCCCGCTACTCAAACGGCCTCCTCCGGGCACAGGGAGCCGCCATCGGTCACCCCGGCTGGGCTCACCCGTCTGCTCTATGGCCTCCACCAGCCTCGCCAGGATGGGGGGCGCCACGTCAGGGGGCGCGAACTGCTCGGGCAGATCTGGGAGCGTGCCGCCTGAGTGAGAGGCAGATTCTGGAGTGAAACACGAGGAATCCAGCATCTTCAGGGACCGGGTGTGGTGGGACCGCACGAGGCCGCCCAACACGCAGGTCCCCCGTCGAGTGCTGGCGCCCGAGGCTGTGACCCCGTTTAGAGACAGGGGCTCTGCAGGTGGAGTTAAGGCAGGAGTTTCACACGAGATCCTCAGGTGGTGCTAGTCCAGTGATGGGTGCCTTCCTTTGGCCAGCAGGCCACCAGCAGAGCCTGGGGAAATCAGCGCCCCAGCAGACTCCCGGAGCCTGTGGGAGCAAGGGTTGTCCTGCCTGCTTGGGAGGGAGCAGGCCCTGGTCCCGAACCTGCAGCCCAGAAAGGCCACATTGCACTTCTATTGTTCCAGGTCACCTGATTCGTGGGGATTCCGTAGGGCAGCAATGAAACTCACACAACAGGTTTCAGGCCCTGGCAGAGCTGCTGTGCAGCCTTGAGTATAGGACCCGCCCTCTCTGGGCTGCAGTTTCTTCAAGGAAACAATGGGGAGGACAGACGGCACAGTCCTCCCACCCCGTGGGGTGCTGGGGTGCAGCTCAGGGCCCCCAGCACGCTAGTGTTCTACTCCCGAGGGTCTCTTACTGAGCTACACACCCAGCCCTGCTTTCAGAGACAGGGTCTTGCGAAGCTGCCCAGGCTGGGCTCAAACTTGGCATCTTCCTGCCTGAGCCTCCCAGAGTACTGGGCTTATAGAAGCGCATCACCATGCCTGGCTCCTGCATGTAGGTTCTTGAGGCAGACAGAAAAGGGGTTGAAAAGGAATACGAAACTCATCTTTCTCTGAGCCTGAATAGCTTACTTCAGGGATCTTTCCCTCATTTTCTAATTTTCCTTCTCAAAATGCTCCCCCCTCCCCGCCTTTTAAGACACTGCAAGCCCTGGGAGAAGGTACGAGGCATCTCATGGCCCTGCCATCCCAGGCTAAGCTTGCAGCTTGCAGCACAGAGGAGGAGCGGAGGAGCAGGAGGTGCGGTCCTGGCCGCAGGGGCCCTGGTGCTGCTGGGGATCTGGCCGCAGCACTGGAGAGGAGGGAGGCCCAGCGTGAACGGTGAGGGCCCCACAGATGGAGCCCGGGCACACAGCCAGCTGGGGGCCTGGGACCCCTGTGCTCTACCCAGCTCCAGCCTTCTGAGCTTGCAGCACAGAGGAGGAGCGGAGGAGCAGGAGGTGCGGTCCTGGCCGCAGGGGCCCTGGTGCTGCTGGGGATCTGGCCGCAGCACTGGAGAGGAGGGAGGCCCAGCGTGAACGGTGAGGGCCCCACAGATGGAGCCCGGGCACACAGCCAGCTGGGGGCCTGGGACCCCTGTGCTCTACCCAGCTCCAGCCTTCTGGGGGCCCGGCATCAGGAACAGCAGGGCCTGGTGCACACAAGGACCTCATCACCGTGTGGATGGGAGAGCGAGGCCTCCTCCAGCCAAGGTCACAGCCTGGGAGCCGCAGGTGGGGCTGAGTGGCCCTGGAGCACGGCCAGGCAGGGAGGGCAGCGCTGTTACCAGGGCAGCAGCAGATTCCGGCAGGGAGCCCGGCTGGGGCCGCCTGCTGCTCCTGCTTCTGGTCCTCCAGCCCACCGAGCAGGGCTAAGGCCTCCAGGAGCCCAGATGCTGCAGGGCCCCGGTACTCCCAGCTGTGACTGGGGCCCCTCCTCGGGGCCTTGACGCTGGGTCACCACGGACGGGCTTCTCCAGCGACCACTGTGCCTAGAGCACGCCCTCCTCTCCTGCATCCAACTGTGCTGGCCACACAGCGCCTGCAGCCTCCTCCGACAGCCCAAGCCTCAGTTTCCCTGGAAACCCACCCGCTAGCGGGCCTGCAATGACTTCAGCAGCCTCCCGCTCCTCTCCACCCAGCCTGGGACGCGGGCGACTCCACCTCGGTCTGCAGAGAAGTCGGGCACCAAGGGGTTCCTCGAGAGCCCCCCCGTACGCAGCCCTGCCCTTTGGGGCTCGCCCCGGCCCGCGCCCTCACAGAACTGTCCCAGTCATCCCCTTCTGGCCCGTCCGGACC